GAGGGGGGTCGTTAGGTCGGTCGGTCGGGTTGTGAGTCGGTCGGGGAGAGTCGGGGTTAGTCTGTCCGTTTGTCAGTCGGTCGGTCGAAGGAGGACGAGGAACGAATGGGGTTTGTCGGTCGGAGAAGGAGGTCGGTCGGCCTGTCTGAGCCGATCGTCCGTGAGGTCGTCTGTCGGTCTCGTCAAAAGGGGAAGGAAACCAGTCCTGGCCCTATATATCTTTCAAGTCCAGCTTGTCCATAAAAAAAAAGAAACATGAGTACAACTGCAAAGATATCACAGGGCTTCTCCTTGTCCGGAGAGGAGGTGCTCCGTCGAGAGAGGAGGTGCTCCTACGTGTCGAATGGGGAGGAAGGGTGTCAGGGGGGAAATAGACTAGGTCATTGGCGAGTCATGTCGTGTCACGTCCGTCAAATCCGTTGCTTTGTGCGCTCCGTTTCCCATCAGACCTTGGCCTTGGAGTCGGGGGTGGGGGTCTCGGCGGAGCTCCGCCGGTTCACGTAGGAGTAGACGTTTTTGCCGGGGGGGGCGCTGTCGGTTCGCTCGTAGAAGCCGTTGTCTTGGTATTCGTTGTAGTTTGCGCCGTAGTTGTAGGGGCCTTGGTTGGCGTAAGCGTATTCGGGTTGGTAAGCGGGGGCGGGGCCGGCGGGACCACCGCCTCCGCCGCCGCCACCGCCGCCGTAGGCCACGTGGAAGGGCGGTTCCGCGAAGGCCACGTTAGATTGGGGGCTGTAGTCCGTGTAGTCCTCGGAGTCCTCGTCGTATCCGCCGTTCCCATAGCGTCCCGATCCGTCCGATCGGGGCATGAGCAGCGGCGCGCCGAGCACTGAAACGAAGGATTCGAGTGGGTACGTGGACGTCGGGGGGGAACCAAACGATCCGATTGGAGGATCCGCGGAGGGGATCCACCAATCGGGTCGCTCCCCCGCGGCGACGTCATTCCCACCCTCCGTTAGCATCCTCATCCGAATACGCTAAGTGATTCTGTCGCATTATTCCATCGTCGTCCATCATCCATCATCCATCATCCATCGTTCTGTCATCCATCATCTGGCATTTAGCTTGCGTCCGGCATCCGTAATGCCTTATAATTCATTCCATCAGCATGATTTTCCATGAATTGAGTGGAGATAGCTACCAGTCAAACCCGAAATATCAGTAGCGTCAGGAACAGAAAGACACACGTCCGCTTTCGTACGTCGTATTGATTTTTTTCGTTCAGGCTGGATCCATCCGTCATTCCACCCATCCCTCGTGAACGAGACTTTTCGATCGACTGAAGTGGCCAGAACGCTTGTAAAAAACGCAAATGCCGATCCCTTTTCTCCAGATGCCCTTTTGCCCTAGATGTCCTTTTGCCCTATATGCTCTATTGTCCTAGAAGCCCTTTACTCCTAGATACCCTTTTGTCCTAGAAGCCCTTTTGCCTTTTTCCCCTAGATGCCCTTTCGCCCTAGATGCCGAGGGAAGAGAAGACGACTCACGGGTGCCGAAGAAGATGAGAGCGGCCGTGGTGCCGATGGCCCCCGCCGTTTGCCTCGAGACCGCCGGTAGCCACCCGGAGATCCTCTGCGGCAGGTTGTCGAACACGGCCTGGTCGTTCCTCCTGTTTCGTCCGTGGAAATTAGTACTTGGAAATGGTACTAAGTACTTAGAAATACGGCGTTTCGCGGAGATTCTGTTGGGCTCGATACTGCTGCAAATTTCTCATAAGCTCAATGGCTTGGTGCTTAAAGCTTATAAGCGATTCATGGCAAGCTTAATCAGTACTTAAGCGCCGATGGGGACTCATTTAAGAAACTACCTCAAAACTGCCCCGCAAAAGGACTCAAAACTGACTTCGACTTAAACGATCTGGTATCGTTCTGTTTTCAACACGGTATCGAATATCGATATCGGTCGGAATATTAAGTCACTGGTATCTTTTGTTATACTCGTCGAAAGTCGTCTTACAAGACGCCGTTGAGGACGTCGGCGATCTGCAGGGGGGCGTCGGGCTGCGCCTGCTGCGTCTTCTCGCCGCCCGCTTGGTCTTTCTGGCTGATGAGGAAGAGGGCGTCGGCGAGGTTGCTCACGTCGGGGGCGTCTTGGACTTCCTGGACGGTCACCGTGGCGCCGCGGTTGACTGTGGGAGGAGAGGAGGAGTTGAGTGGTGGGTGGGAGGTGGGGGGAAGGTGGAGGGAGAGGGGTTGTTTCTAGATTTTTAATTACGCGCATCGGCGGGAATTACTGCTTAAGATTGTTCGCCCGTCTCGGGGTAAGTGGAATTTCGATGCAGTGCGACGCGCGAAACGGAAAAATAAATAAATAAAAATGGGACAACCACGGAGAAATACGGGCATTCGGCGAGAAGAAAGAAAAGAAACTTGAATGTTTAAACAAGAGGAGTCGTCGCTCACAGGACTGGAAGAGTCTGGGGAACATGGCTCCAAGCAGGAAGGTGCCGGAGGACAGCAACGCCGTCGCGAACCGCGCCGGAGCGGTGACGGCCTGGGTGACCGCCCCGAACAGGGCGTTGAAGAGGGTCGCGGGGATGCTGAAGAGGCCCTGGAGGAACTGCAATGGGTTCGCCGCTGGGAATCCGCCTACCTGTCGGGCCACCTCGGTCCCGAACAGCCTCGTCATCGTCTGCTCGAAGTACCTGGACAGGTTCTCCAGGTCCCGCACCTGCAGCGCTCGGCCACTGCGCCCAGGACCCGCCGGCTTCGCCGGCACCGCGGCGGGCTCCACTTCATTCTCCTTTCGTGAAGAAAAAATTCCTTAAATTCTCCAAATTTTTTTTTCAATTTTTTTTATTATAAATCCCCATTTCCATTTTGAGTGAATTTAAATCCAAATTTCACTTAAATCTCTTTTTTTTTTTAAATCCGATTATATTCAGCAAATCCATTTGGCAATGCATCGCCCAAGCCTCGAATCGGATTGATCTCCTTGCGATGGCTGAACAAAGCTATTTTCCAAGACGCGAGGCTATTCTCTGAGACGCGAGGCTATTTTTAGTCGATTAGACCGGATGACCACGAATCGACTCCCGTGAAACGCGACGGAATCGCCAGGACGGAGACGGCGCCGCCAATGCACGGCGACGCATTGCGACCGATCGGGTTCAGCCCTCAACAACAATAGATAATAATTAATAAATAAAACTCGCAGAAGAAAACAAGAAAGAATCAATGAAAACAAGACAGATGGAGTGTTGTCATTTATCCCTCATTGACCCCTCGCATCATTTATCCCTCATTGACCCCTCGCATCATTTATCCCTCATTGACCCCTCGCAACGAGGGAAGTCCCTTTCCCTGCCACGGTTCAAGGTCCATTTCTGCCCCTCCCGACATCCCTTAATGACATCCCTCAATGGCATCCCCTCATGACATCCCTTGCTGACATCCCTCTCCCAGTTCCCAGCACGCATCCAGCTCGTGTTGGACATCAGTGACCGCTTAGGAACAACTCAAGATGATGGATCATCCTCGCGGATCATCCTCGCGGATCATCCTAATGTATCATCTTGATGGATCATCTCCCTCTCGCCCAACCCGGGGCTTGATTGAATTCGGATTGATGGCGGTTCACCGCTCATTTCTATTAACTGACTTGATGCTAATCAATATGTTGAGGTTGCGACGTCAATTCGTCCTTCAATTCGACCGAAAAATTCTCGGAACTCGTTTCCAGTTCAACAAATTAATTCAACTTTAATCGAGAGAGTGTCGAGAAAGAGTCGAACAAATATATATTTAAGAAATATATAAATATGCATATATGTAAAGTAACCAAACGTGGGACCTGCGATTGCATTCCTCATATTTATGCATGCATCACGGTGGATGGAACGTGTTAATCCCCGGGAGACTCGAAACGCGCGAGAAGGAGGAGGAGGAGGAGGATGGGCCTCACCTGGACAGGTTCCTTGACCTCCTCCGCGAGACCGAGGCAGAGGAGCCCCGCCGCTATCACCAAGAGGATTTTCATCTGGAAAAAAAAAGAAGAATCGATTAATATGCACAAAACGCATGATGGCTAACGGGAGGTCAGATGATAGACGGGGGGGGGCAGGGGGGGCGAGGGGGGGGCAGGGAGACTGGTTTCTGCTGACCCCGGATTAGTGGGAGAAAACTTGTTCGATCTGTCCGGCTAACGGTGCGGGTGTCCCGGTGCGGGTGTCCCGGTGCAGGTGTCCCGGTGCAGGGGTCCCGGTGCGAGTGGGACTTCCTCAAACTTTCACCCGGTTCGGCTCGCAGTCCCACATTCCGGGTCGCCCCGATTCCGGGTTGCCGCACGTGATCGGGGTCAGCCGTCGAGGCAGAATCCGGACGAAAGCGGAATCCGAACGAATGCAGAATTCGGAACGATTCCGGAATTCGAAAGAGAAAGGCGTCCCGGATCGAAATCGTCGGAATGGGATCGCGCGCAAAGGCGAGCTGTTTACCGAATGGGATCGCGCAAAGGAGCCCTGTTTACCCGATGGGATTCCGCGAAAGGAGCCTTCGTTTGCCTAATGGGATCCCTGAAAGAAGGAGACTTGTTTACCGAATTCCGAATCGGGCGGGTCGTGACGATTCGTGAACGCTTCTCCCCGCAATAAAAGCTGACGAGAGATAAGAAAAGCGGAATGGCCCCGCCATCGGCTAGGGAATGGCCCCGCTATCGGTCGAGGAATGGCCCCGCTATCGGTTGGGGAATGGCCCCGCTATCGGTCGAGGAATGACCCCGCTATCGGCTGGGTCATTCCACGGCAGTAAACACGGCCCCTTCTTTTTTTTCTTTTTTTTT